AATTTGATATTTATTAACTAACATGTTTAGTATTAATACACATTTGGCAGATTATGAAATTTTAAAATACTGTGTGAAAAACCAACATATGTTTTACTCTTTGATGATATACACGTTGGTTGTAAAGTGTCTGCGCTCACCAAGAAATATCACTACTAGCTCCAGTTTTTTTTCTCGAGTTGGTACATCTGTCGTGAGAACACAAGCAAAGTCATTCTGTCAATTATTTCTTTTTTTTACAAGCCATTTGAATTTGACATGTCAGAAGATTTTTTTTAATATGGCGCAGTGATTTGATCCTTTGTTTTGAAAGCAAGCACACCCGAAATCATTGAACAAGTTCATAATATTGTTGGTGAAAACCCAAATTTGACTAGTCGTGTATGGTATCAACTCTGAACATTATTGCAGCCTTTTGGATTAGCTGGATGAAAAATTCGTGAAAAAAGACCTAACCGAATAAAGAAGCTATTACAGCTCTAGACGGGTTTTTTGCAGAGCTTCCGGAAAGTCATTATAGGGATGGCATAAATTTTATTCCAAAAACTGTATTTTGTATTTCGAGCGCAGAAAATTTACAACCAACCTGTATTCCCTTTTTTGCCGTTAATTATTTTTCTTTATTTACTCACGTTACTTATAAGTAGTGGCAAACCGATAACGAAGCACAGTGCGAGCCTTTTAGGACATTTTCGTTTAAGATATTTTTTATTTCTTTCTTGTGTTTTTTTTTTTTATACGAGTATATGTTAACTACAAAACTTTTTATTAAAGATATGGCTTTAGAACTCCCAAAGCTGAAAACAAATTTGTTTAAATATTTAATTTTACCTTTTGAGTTAGGTACAAAATATTTCATGGTGATAATTTTAAATACTTATACACCCCGTTCTGCACAATTTTCGATAAATATGTTCGTTTTTGAAACTGTCTCCAAACAGGGGATTTATTTATTAATTTTTCTATATATCATACAAGATGGTAGTTGCATAAGGTATTTGCGCCAATATGTCCCTTTAGTCCTTTAAGAGACAGCTAATTGCCTTTGAAAGTTGTACTTTCAATGAATCAAGGTTTCCGTAAAGAAAAAACTTCTTCAGTTGTAATTCTGTACCGCGGTTGTGTGTAAACCTTTACCTTTTATGGATATGACCTCCACAAAAAGCTTTCCCACCATTTTTTAATTCATTGTGCGTGTTATATCTTGATCTGTTTAAAAAACTGAAAATTTGTCGTAAACCTTTTAACATCATACTTTCGGAGTATACTTCCATTTCAGTTCATAAAAAGATTGAGTCGGACGAGTTTTTTTCAAAATGACAATATATTAGTATCTAACTTTGATAGGTTTTGCTTACTGTTCAAGTACTTCTGAACAAGTTACGCACCAGTTACTCCACATTTTGCTCAATAAACCACTTTTTTAATTTTAGTTGATGGAAATTTTTTTAGATATATTTTTAATTTACATAGCTTTTCCTACACTAGCCCTTTAGATAAGCCATAATGCAGAAAATAATAACAAACAAAACTTTACGGAAACGTTGATTTGATAAACTTAAATCGTGAACTTAAAAATAAAGACAATAACTAACAGTAACAGTAAACAAGTAAGAAAAACAAACAAAAAAATTAAATAACTATCTAATGTGTTCTATGCTTGCACTACCTTGTCAATATTGACATTACGCTTAGTATGAGATAAGGCGTTTCAATGCGTGAAGAATGCTTTTTGAGTGAGCGACATACCGGGGTTTGTATAAATAGCGGCAGAAAATCGGCTGTAAGGCATTAATATCAGAAGCGCACTTTAGCCAAGTTATTGCTAACTATAAACTAAAAATTCGCTATTCAGAATAAAAGCTAAAGCAAAGCGGTATTATCATCAAAATGCAAAAACAACAACTGATTTGGTGAGTTCCAATTTCATTTTCATTTTCGTGATTTTGCTATTATTACTTAATTAATATTTTAATTGTATATTAATTTATTTTATTGTTGTTTTTGTGTGTTTTACAGTGTTTATTTGTCACTGATTGTTTTGGTTTCGGCCAAAATGGTGGTAAGTCAGGTCGTTAGGGGAGGCTTGTGTCCATCCGACATCCAAACTGTCCAAGATTTCGATGCAGAAGCGGTAAGTGCTTAACGAATTTGTATATAAATATATATGTATGTATGCAAACAACGGTCGCCGCGGTTGAAAACACTTTTGGTTTCTTTATTTATAAATCACGTTGATAATAGTGGCTTATTTTGGAACATTTTATTTTTTATATTTGCATATATATTATATTATAGTAGGGTTGGCAGCCTCAAGTAACAAGTGAAAAATATTTTAAAATTTAACAAAATTTTTCCATAAACGTATAGAAAGTAGAGCGTAGTTATTTTAAAATTATCATTTTAGTCAGTTTTAAGAAAGTAGTAGTATTTCAAGTGTGGTTTTTTATATCCTACAGTTGCCAACTTGAAAGTTTCGTAGTGAAAATAAAACAGCATTGATTTCAAACCAACAACTTTTAATTCTGAAGTTATAAAAGAGTTCATATTTTTTAAGAATTTAACAAAACAACAAAAAATAAAAAAAAAGTGTCATAAGTACTTTGAGGTATTGGTTAATAAATATATAATATAAATAAAATAAAAATAAAACAAAATCCTTTAACCAATAGTAGCGATTTTTAAATGTGATTTCTGTATATTTAACAGAATTTTTCTATAAATTCAATAATAAAATTTGTTATTAAAGACTTAAAATTTTACAACAATCTTTACAGTATTTGGGAAGATGGTATGAGTACTCCAAGTATCCTTTCATTTTTGAGGCTGGCGGTAGGTGTATACAGGCGGAATATGGTGCTTTAACTAACGATAGCGTTACAGTGCAGAACACCCAAATATCAATTCTGTAAGTATTTTT